AGGATAGGTTGATCTACAAGTTCCTCGTTGAAGTGGTTAGCTCGAGAGCGAGCACAAGATCGAATGCTTAGCTTTGGACCTCAGTTAAAGGTATAAACCATGGATTCCCAAACTAGTTTTTGGCTCTGTTAAATGCTAGAAGTGTGAAATAGATGCTTAGAAATGCTAGATAAAATCTGTTGATGAGCTATTTGTGTGTTCTTGATGATCTATGATTGATTTATTGAGGTTTAGAAATGTTGTTGTTGATCCGAGTTATCTACAGGCTACAGGTGAAGAAGAAAGGGTCTGGTTCTAAACTAATGGTGTTCTTCTCTCTAGAATTGTGTAACTCTCCAAGTCTCCTCCTCAAAAATCAGAAATTTTACCTTAAATATTCAATGATACATTCGGCCTCCCCCGCCGGCGTGAATAGGCAATAACCCCCTTCCGTCCAAGCTCTGTCTGGCTTCTCTATTTCTGTAACACCCCCCAAAAACACAAGGCCCAATTGAAGCCCTAACACAAGCAGATTAATAACAAAACTAGCACAACGGAAGATAAACGGAAACTGGATAAAAGAAATCCAAAAAGGGGTGTTATGCCACGTATACCAAACTAGGTAACGCTAAAGCAACAATCTGCAAGTGTATAATACTATCCCAATACATCAATCTAAAACAGTCTAAAAACATTGGCGCACAAGCCACAAAAATACAAAGGTGCTAAGCTATCAGGCTCTAGACATCGCTCTCGTCTAAACATCACCTGAAAGATACAAAGATAAACATGGGACGACGCCCGGTCAGCGAATAATGCTGGTAACCCACCAATACCGTTAAGTATCATAAATAGGTAGATATAAGATATAAAAACCATTTTCGAAATGGAATACATATATATAAGTCAAAAACCAAGATCACCAGTCAACACAAGACTCATCACTCTCAATACCCCACGGGAACACATCCCAAACCACAAAGGTTAACCACACACAAGGATAAAAACTCACCCAACGGCAACACATGCCAAAACAACGCAAGCCTCCGTGACTACACACGTCACGAGAGAAGATAACACAACGCCGGCTTTACAAGCCCTCGCAACATCACCCATCGCGAGTTGGTATGCCTTCCTTATGCCCTGTTCCAACCTTATGGCTACCCCCAACCTTGTATCTTCTTTCCAACGTTACCTCCAGGATCCCCTGTACAGCCAAGTCCGACCTTATTCCGCCGGGACCGTCGTCCCCCACCTATAACCACCAACGAACCACCACCAATCACGGCAACACATGCCCGGATAACACGTTATCCCCCAACCACGTGGACCCATCACTCAGGCCACAACTCCATAATCACGTCACGGCCACCACGAGGACCGCTGCAATACCTTGGTGACTAGTGTCACATACCACTAATCGTGCAATCCAGGTAAAGCCACACACGCCACACCTCAACAGGAATCAATCAACGGATTGCAATGAAGGTATGAAACACACTCAATCAAGGAACGGGTCACAGCCCAATCAACAACAACGATGAATAACACAAGTTATCATCAACCAAACGGAAGGTACAAACCACACACATGCTAGCATTAAGACAACAAACTAGCATGCTTATCAACGGGGAAACTCAAGATAGTTCCGAGGATCACAGAAGACACCTCTTGGTCCAACGAAACACAATGTTGAACACTTAGCACGATTCAAGACACCAAAGTCCTACATGGATACCTACCAGATACTTCTAGACCTACGAAACATCAAGAAGACACTCAAATAGTTCCACAAAAGAACAACGGGGAGTCAAAAGATCAAATACTGAGACAACGAATCACGGGGAACAAATCCCGAACCAACCACCACCGTGTACCAGCGGGTGGACCCACGGGTAGTGCCCCACCCGTGGTCCCGCCTGCGGGAACACCATCCCACGAGACCTGTACCGCGGGTAGGCCGGCGGGTGGTGCCCCGCCCGCCGTTCCGCCCGCGGGAACATTCCTGTTCCACGATAAATCCCTTCGGGGATTTTCTTCTCCAAACACAAATTCAAGTCCAAAACATGCCAAATCTCACCAAACACAACAAAATGACTTGAGCCATGGAAAATGCCAAGCAATGGCACAAAGGAACCCTAAACACAAGCTCTAGATATGCAATATCACAAGATAAATGCATAAAACCCTCACATTTCATAGCAAAGAACAAGTAGAATCCAAGAAATCACATATAGGTAAGCAAAATAGGTTTTGTAGAGCATGGGTTACCTCTTGAAGACCAAAAGACTTCACTTTACACCACAACAAGCTCTCCACTAGGCTCACTTCTCAAACCCACTTCAAGATCAAACCAAAAGATCATAAAGATCCTACATTTAAGAAAAGGACAACTAAGATGGAACCAAAAAGACTAGACAAGCTTAGATCTTACCCTCCTAGATGCCTAAATAGGTGAAAGGTTGAATCTTGGAAGCAAAACTTGAAATCTTGACAAGGGTCTCAACTTGGCTTGGAGAATAAGCTACACTTCTATTCTGGAGAGAAGGTAGAGATATTTTTCTAAGAATTGTAAGGAATGAAATGAATAAGTCTTCTAGGTTAGGATACAAAACTAACTCTTGGTGAAAAGACAAGGCTACCCTTACTAACCCTTAGAAAGTGTAAGGAACAAGGGAACTCCTCTCTAAGCACAAGGTACAACACAACTTAAAGATTGACTAGTCAAATACTAATCCTTGAGTATTAAAAATCAGGATTTTAGGAATCAATTCCTCAAAAGAATTAGAATTAATTACTCAATTAATTCATTGATTGGAGTGTGGATTTTTGGGGTGTCACATTCTCTCCCCCTTCAAAGAAGTTTCGTCCCCGAAACTTGGGTACAACGAATTAAAGCAAATGGTAACAAGGAAACGAAATTGTGACAAGAAATTTCAAGAACAACATTTTTGGTCAAAACTCCAAAAGTACTCACAAGGGTTCCAAAGCAAAGAAGAAGACATTACGAATTCAAGGATTGATCAAGAGTTAAAAGAACGGGTAGATTGAGCATCAAGAACTCTAACCTCAACTCAACCACCAACTTCTAGACAACAACCAAGAACTCAACAACTAACTACAAACACCAACTAACACACTAGCTAAACAACAAGGCAACAAGCAAAACAAGCAAGCACAGAAAGCACACAACAACCTAACACCAAGCTAACAACGGCCAAGAAAGAAACAACAAGAAAGAAGCGAACGGGGTTACCGCAACACAAAATAGAACTCTTCACTCTCCGACTCTTCGGCCTCTTCAGACTCTTCCTCGTCTTCGTCTCTGTGGCTAGAACTGGCTTCAATCTGGTCCAGCCTCTGATGCACTGCGACGAACTGCGCCTTCACAAACGCAAAGCCCTCGGCGATCAAACTGTTCTGCTGACGAAGCAAAGAGACGACGTCCTGCTCTCTCTTGGTGCGAGCTTCCTTCCTTCTCCGGCTTTCCTCACTGTCTGATTCACTTACTTCAGCTTCGACGGTCTCCGGTGCTCCTACTTCTTCTTCTTGATCCGCTTCCTCCTCAACTTCTTCGTCACCACCCAAACTCTGGACTGCGAGGCTCAACTTCTCGGCATGGATCCCAAGCTCAGCAGCTAACTCCACCCTCTCAACAGGTATTTTCCTTGCAACCTCTTCTAGCGTGATGTACTCACCACTATCCAACAGAAACAGATTACAACTCCGGAGATTGGCGGTATCCAACACCATCTTTCCCACAGCCTTCGGGAGACAACCGTCCACACTAACACCTTTCTTAACCAAGATCCAACTCAGCACCATTCCATACGGCAAACTCTTCCGGTTGTGATCCCGGCAAAACACCATGTGTTGCATCATCAAAGCAGGCAGATTGAACTTAACCATATTCTTCAGACAGAAAGCAAAGGTGCACTCCAACTTACCCAACAAACTACTCTTGTTGTTATTGGGCAACAAAAAATCTGACACAAACATCACCAAGATCCTTTGTTCCGCAGACAACCACTTCTTCTCCGGCCTCGAAGCTTGAGTGAAACCACTCGTACAGCCCAACAGATAGCTCAAATAGTCACGGTACCCCATGGTATCCGTACTAATCCAAGAATGACCACTGTACTGAGCCACTCCGGTAGCAGACAAACTCAACAACTGAGCCAACCTCTTCTCAGACAACACAAGTTTCACACCTCTCACCTTAGAGGTGATCGCCTTTCACCTTCCTTTGTCACAACCATGTGATGGTAAAACTCTTTCACCAAGCTCGGGTAAGTCTCGGCCTTTATGGCGAGAAACCCATCTAACAAACCTTGAAACTTAAGCAAATCCAACAAGGAACTTGAAAAAGATTCCGGATCAAAAGCATTACCTTCAAGCACAAGGTAGTGGGCATCCACCCACATAGATACCTACCATATAGTTCTTGTTGAGACTCATTATTATGCTTTTATTATTTCCTATGACTGTTCAGTTTCTATGTCTGTTAGTATCCCTAGGGCTATGTCTGTTAGTATCCCTAGGGCTCTATTAGTATTCCATCTTCTACCTATATATATGGTGTTGTGTATTTGCTTGTAGACAGAGTGTAAATAACAAGACAATACTTTATTCTCCAAACTCCTTCAACATGGTATCAGAGCCACCATTGGCCTGAATCCCTTTTTATTTCCGAGCATGAACAGTATTTTTGAGGATGAACAGTAGCAGTGCAGGGTCTGTCTACGCTTCTTCTTCGAAAACTCCTCATCGCAAGTTTTCATAAAGTTCCGAAGAACCACCGCCGGTCTGGAAGTGCAGGCGACCCCGGCCGTCGAAGTCCCATCTCAAACCGCCGCCGCACGCGCCCTCACGCGCCACCTCACGCGCAGCCTTCCGCCGTCACGCGCCCCCACGCGCCGGCGCGTGAGACCTCCTCCGGCGATATTTTCCGGCGATATTTTCCAGTTCCATTTTCGACCCTCCTCTGGCTTTCCTGGTAATATTCTTCCTTTTTATCAACCATGTCTTCAACTAGAACCGAGGAAACTTCTACCAATGTTGAAAATGCTATTTCTCGCTCAGTGTTTGTGCCTAATTTATCTGGAAATCCAGTTATTACCTCTGAAAAATTGTGTGGGTCACAAAACTACCACTCTTGGTCGGATGCCGTTGAAATGTGGTTTATGGGCCAGGGTGTTATTGACCACTTGGAACATGGGGTAGAAACTGAGGTACCAGAAAATGAGAAGGCAATTTGGAAAAGGGTGGATGCACAACTTTGTAGTCTTCTATGGCAATCCCTTTCACCTGAGTTAATTCAACTATTTAGAGTTTTTAAAACATGTGTTGAGGTATGGAGTCAAGCCAAATCCTTGTACACTAATGATATTTCACAATGTTACACAGTTGTTGATAATTTGGTTAATTTAAAGAAGGATGGTATGAGTATGGAAGCCTTTCTTGGGAAAACTCAAAGTTTATTAACTGAGTTTAATAAGCTTTTACCTGTTGGAGGGACACCTGATGAACAGGTTGCCCAACGTGAAAAGTTTTTTGTTGTTCTGGTTTTGACTAAATTAGGCCCCGAGTTTGAGAATACTCGAAACCAGATTCTTGGGGATAAAGGTGTGCCAGGGGTCCAAGAGTTGTTCAAACGCCTTCTTCAAGTGGCCTCTTTTCCTGGTGAAACTTCTACATCCACTACAGAACAATCTGCTCTTGTGATCCAAGGAAGTCGTGGTAATAATCTGGGCAATCGGAATAAAGACCGTAGTGGGCAGAAAAATGCTAGATACTGTGATTACTGCAATAGATCTGGACACACACGGGACCGATGTTGGAAACTGCACGGGAAACCGTTGCCTGCTCCTACAAATGTGGCTCAACTCAAATTAGAAGAATCAAGTTCTAAAAATGTCTCTCTTGCAGAATATGAAGAGCTTGCACGGTTTAAGGCTAATGCCCAAGCTACTGTTTTCACTCCTTTGGCTCATACGGGAGAGACTCATGCTGCCCTTGTTTCTCAATCTGGACCTCTCGGACCATGGGTCCTTGATTCAGGTGCCTCCGAACATATATGTGGTAATTCTTCCTTATTGACCCATCTCACAAACTCTAAGTCTCTTCCGTCCATTGTGTTTGGTAATGGATCCATATGTTCTGCTAAAGGAGTTGGTAAAGCAAGACCTCTTCCTGATTTACCCTTGTCATCAGTCTTGCATATACCTACTTGTCCTTTTAATTTGATTTCCATTCGTCAACTTACTCGTTCTCTTGATTGTCTTGTCACTTTTTATCCTGATTCGGTTGTTATACAGGACCGCCGTTCGGGGAAGACGATTGGCTCGGGGTATGAATCAAAAGGGTTATACCGTCTATCCACTCCTGCTTCCGCTGTCTGTAGTGCTACTATTTCTCCTTCCCTTACTCATTGTCGTCTAGGTCATCCAAGTTTGAAGAAACTACAACAACTTGAACCGAGTCTCTCAAAGCTGTCTTCACTAGAGTGTGAATCTTGTCAATTTGGGAAACATTCAAGAACCTCCTTTCCTGAACGGGTTAATAAAGTGTCCTCATCCCCTTTTTCCTTAGTTCACAGTGATATTTGGGGTCCTTGTCGTGTCACTTCTGTGTTAGGTTTTAATATTTTGTTACTTTTATTGATGACTTTTCGCGTTGTACTTGGGTTTTCCTAATGCAACGACGTTCTGATCTATTCAACATCTTTCAGAAATTTCATAATGAAATCAAGAATCAATTTGGAGTCTCTATTAAAATTCTTCGAAGTGATAATGCCAGTGAATATTTCAATACTCCTTTGTCTACCTTCCTTGACTCTGAAGGTATTCTCCATGAGTCTTCTTGTCCAGATACTCCACAACAGAATGGTGTGTCTGAACGAAAGAATAGGCATCTAGTGGAAACCGCTCGGACTATGCTCCTTCACTATAAGGTTCCCTCGTATTTTTGGGGAGATGCTATCCTCCATTCATGTTACCTTATTAACCATATGCCATCGTCTGTTCTACATGGCAAAATACCTTATAACATATTGTTTCCTCAAGAGCCATTACACAAGTTTCCGCTGAGGGTTTTTGGTTGCACTTGCTTTGTTCGGGATATTACTCCTGGTCGTGATAAACTGTCACCCAAGTCCTTGAAATGTATTTTTGTGGGGTACTCTAGGGTTCAATAAGGGTTCAGGTGTTATTGTCCTGAGACACAACGATCCTATGTATCACCAAATGTTACCTTCTTTGAGCACACTCCGTTCTTTTCATCTGACTCTATAAGGGTGGTGGATCCTTTTCCTGATGTCCTACCAGTTCCCTCATTTGAAGGAGGGACAGAAATACCAATATCTCCTGTTGTCCTACCTCCCAATCCATCAAAACCCACACTGTTTCTCCTTTCCAGTTCACCTATCATCGTCGGTCAAAATTACCACCAACCACTACTGCTGCAAACATTGAACCTGCTGATTCATCTCTTGAGCGGTCTCTTCCCTCGGATTCGGGTCCTGCTCCAATCTCCAGTCCGCCCATTGCTAGTCGGGTAGGTAACCGGTCTACTCGCAATCCCTACCCTATATATAATTTTGTCTCTTATCACCGGTTTTCCCCTGTTTACAATGCTTTCATCTCCAGTTTATCATCTGTTTCTGTTCCTAATTCGGTTAGGGAAGCTCTTTCCCATCCTGGTTGGCAGCAAGCTATGGTAGATGAAATGGTTGCTTTGTAATCCTCGGGAACTTGGGACTTGGTTCCATTACCTCCTGGCAAAACAGTTGTTGGTTGTCGTTGGGTTTATAATGTCAAAGTTGGGCCTGATGGACAGATAGATAGACTCAAAGCTCGCCTTGTAGCCAAGGGGTATACTCAAGTGTTTGGCGTTGATTACACTGATACGTTCTCACCCGTAGCCAAGATCTCTTCTATCAGAATCTTTCTGTCTATTGCTGCCATCCATCATTGGCCTCTATACCAGCTAGACATCAAGAATGCCTTTTTACATGGGGATCTAAAAGAAGAGGTGTATATGGAGCAACCTCCGGGTTTTGTTGCTCAAGGGGGGAGACTGATTTGGTTTGCAAATTAAAACGTTCTCTTTATGGATTGAAACAGTCTCCACGTGCCTGGTTCGGACGTTTTAGTACAGTTCTGCAAGAGTTTGGGTTAGTCCAAAGCAAAGTTGATCATTCTGTATTCTACCGGCATCGACATGGTAAGAGCGTTTATCTTGTTGTTTATGTCGATGATATTGTTATCACAGGAGACGATGCAGAAGGAATACTCCAGCTAAAGCAACATCTTTTCCAACATTTTGAGACAAAAGACCTTGGAAAATTAAAATACTTCTTAGGGATAGAAGTTGCCCAGTCAAAGCAAGGGATTTGTATATCTCAACGAAAATATGCTTTAGACATATTAGAGGAAACATGTGTGAGTGATTGCAGACCTATTGATACTCCCATGGATCCTAACATTAAGCTTGTACCGGAACAAGGGAAGCCCTTTTCAAATACAGGAAGATATCGAAGATTGGTTGGAAAATTGTTGTACTTAACCGTCACTCGCCTTGACATCTCTTTTGCAGTTAGCGTTGTGAGTCAATTTTTGGCTTCTCCGTGTGATAGCCATTGGGAAGCTGTCATTAGGATCCTACGATACATCAAGAAGTCTCCCGGGAACGGTGTTTTATACAAGGATCGTGGAAATACAGAGATTGTTGGTTATACTAATGCAGATTGGGCTGGGTGCTCTTGGGATAGAAAGTCAACATCAGGGTACTGCGTTTTTCTTGGTGGCAATCTAGTATCTTGGAAAAGTAAGAAGCAAAATGTGGTGGCTCGATCAAGTGCAGAGGCTGAATATCGGTCAATAGCCTTGGGAACATGTGAACTAATCTGGTTAAAGCATCTCTTGACTGAATTAAATCTTTGCATGAAAGGGCCTATTAAACTGATGTGCGACAATCAAGCAGCCTTGCATATTGCATCCAATCCTGTCTTTCATGAGAGAACAAAACACATCGAAGTCGATTGTCATTTTATTCGCGAAAAGATTACATCCGGGGAAATCGTTACCTCATTCGTGGGTACAAATGATCAGTTGGCTGATATCTTCAACAAAGCTTTAAGAGGTCCCAGAGTTGAATATTTGTGTACCAAGCTTGGAGCTTTTGATATTCATGCTCCAACTTGAGGGGGGATGTTGAGACTCATTATTATGCTTTTATTATTTCCTATGACTGTTCAGTTTCTATGTCTGTTAGTATCCCTAGGGCTATGTCTGTTAGTATTCCTAGGGCTCTATTAGTATTCCATCTTCTACCTATATATATTGTGCTTTGTATTTGCTTGTAGACAGAGTGTAAATAAAAAGACAATACTTTATTCTCCAAACTCCTTCAACAAAACCTACGAAACATCAAGAAGAGACTCAGATAGTTCCACAAAAGAACAACGGGAAGTCAAAAGATCAAATACCGAGACAACGAATCACGGGGAACAAATCCCGAACCAAACACCACCGTGTACCCGCGGGTGGACCCACGGGTAGTGCCCCACCCGTGGTCCCGCCCGCGGGAACACCATCCCACGAGACCTGTACCCGCGGGTAGGCCGGCGGGTGGTGCCCCGCCCGTCGTTCCGCCCGCGGGAACATTCTTGTTCCACGATAAATCCCTTCGGGGATTTTCTTCTCCAAACACAAATTCAAATCCAAAACATGCCAAATCTCACCAAACACAACAAAATGACTTGAACCATGGAAAATGCCAAGCAATGGCACAAAGGAACCCTAAACACAAGCTCTAGATATGCAATATCACAAGATAAATGCATAAAACCCTCACATTTCATAGCAAAGAACAAGTAGAATCCAAGAAATCACATATAGGTAAGCAAAATAGGTTTTGTAGAGCATGGGTTACCTCTGAAGACCAAAAGACTTCACTTTACACCACAACAAGCTCTCCACTAGGCTCACTTCTCAAACCCACTTCAAGATCAAACAAAAAGATCATAAAGATCCTACCTTTAAGAAAAAGACAACTAAGATGGAACCAAAAAGACTAGACAAGCTTAGATCTTACCCTCCTAGATGCCCAAATAGGTGAAAGGTTGAATCTTGGAAGCAAAACTTGAAATCTTGACAAGGGTCTCAACTTGGCTTGGAGAATAAGCTACACTTCTATTCTGGAGAGAAGGTAGAGATATTTTTCTAAGAATTGTAAGGAATGAAATGAATAAGTCTTCTAGGTTAGGATACAAAACTAACTCTTGGTGAAAAGACAAGGCTACCCTTACTAACCCTTAGAAAGTGTAAGGAACAAGGGAACTCCTCTCTACGCACAAGGTACAACACAACTTAAAGATTGGCTAGTCAAATACTAGTCCTTGAGTATTAAAAATCAGGATTTTAGGAATCAATTCCTCAAAAGAATTAGAATTAATTACTCAATTAATTCATGGATTGGAGTGTGGATTTTTGGGGTGTCACAATTTCCCGTTCACACTAGCCTTCACGCCGTGAGGGGGCGTGAATGGGAAATAATTCTCATTTCCTCCTTCTCTCGTGCGTAGTCCCGGTGTGTTCGGTCCTTGTTCGTGCTCCTTTCTCAGCTATGTTCTTTTCTACCACTCTTTACCACTTTTCCGTCCAAGAAAACCTAAAATGCGTAAGATATAATTACGAAGGTATTTTCGTACTAAACTGTGCTTTTGAGATATTTTACCATAAAAACAAAGACTTTTCAACTAATATGAGCACAAAACTCATATCAAAGGATCCTAGAAACTAGCATATTTTGAGGCTTATCAAAATCATAATTGGGTCTTAGTGATCCCGCGGAAATCTCAATCGAGTCTACGAACCCGCGGAATCCATGCTACGGTCTTTGACTCCGCGGTACTCATTAATTTGAGGTCCCTCATATTGATCCACTATGATTCGAGTTGTTGCGATGACTCCGCGGTGAATGACTTGGTTTGGCAATGTCCTTTGAGGATTTCCCAAGTCGGTGATTGATTGTGTAACATGATGAGAACCACCTTGTTGATGATTGTGATTGCCCTATCTTGCTTGTTATCCTTATTCCATTATCATTGTCTTGTTAGGTTGATTCTATTGATATTCTTGTGTGTTGATTGGTATTGTCAAGTACATCCCTCGAAGAGTCAAGTATTGCTTCTAATCCTCATGATTTATAAAGCTAGTGTTGTTTAGCAATATACTTATGTATTCCCAAGTCTCAAAATGGTTTTATCAATAAAGTATATGAATATGTATTTCAACGCGTTGGAGTTAGGTTGCTTAGCATTATCGCTAACGGTTGTCTAACCATATGTTTTTAGGTGCAGTTAGTGACTCGAGAGCGCGTTAGATGGAACCCCGGTTTTGACTAGCTTATCTTTCTAAATGTTCGGGCCTGTGAGCCATTTTGAATAATGAAAACTTTGGATTTGTAGTTAACTTTGCTTTAGCCTGTGTATCTAGGTTGATGGCCTAGATGTGGCATGACATCCCCTTACACTTATGTTAGCATCCGCAGTTTTATATTATGATGGTTAGACTTTACCTTATTTTTTCCTAAGTTTGAATGCTTTAAATTATGTCTAGTTTTGGAGGTGTTACCGTAATATCCCTGTGATAGGTGTAGTTTTAGTGTACTGGAAGGTGTAAACGGGAATGTGAAACTCCCGAGTGTCGAACTCAAGGATGGAAAATCAGAGCAAACGAAGTGCAAGACAATTAGGTGTCACAATGTATCAATATGATAGACTTGGTGCAAGATAGGAGAGTTGGTAGTAACGTGTGAAAGTGTGGAAAACAAGGAAACAAAGAAAGTAAAGAAAACAAAGGAAACAAAAGAGAACAAACAAGAAGGTAACATGGGGATTTGGATGGAAAGGATTTGTGGTCATGCATTCATTGGTCTTTAACTTGGGACAAGAGATGATGCAAAGCTTACCTAACCTATGGGAGAACCAAGGAACCAACATTAGGTTGCGTCAAACCTAAACTCTCATTCCCTACGTCGGGTGAGGCATTCTATCAAACACTTGGCGGGTGGTCTACCGTCTCCTCCCCTAAGCTCGCCCTCTTGGGTTGTAGGAAGGGGATTGCAAGGGTAAGACTAAGGAGAGTGTAATCCCTTGCTAAACTCGCACTCTCACACTCATCTAACCATTAGGGCCCTTAATGGAAAGAGATCAATATGCACTCCTCTACAACAAAGGCATTCGAGGACAATCCATGCATAAACTCTCATCATATCAACCATACTAAGCATGAATACATAATCAACAAATCAAATCCAATCCAAATCCAAGCAATCTAAGAACTCATCATCAATAAAAGGGTAGCAAACACAAATTAAATCTGAAATAATAAACAAGGAAGAGTGGTTACTCAAGTCTTCAATCTATTGTGTAAGCATCCAAGGAGAATTTGTAGAACAATGAGTGTAGTTCTTCAATGGAAATGTAAATCTAACCTAAACCTAATTTACCCTAATCTAAGAGAACTGAATATGAGAGTAAAGGAATGGGAAAAGAAGAAGTGTCCAAAATGATCCCCTTACAAGCCTTTAAATAAGCTTAAAATCTGAAATTTCATTTAAGTGTCCCGTCCACGCACTTCGCAACTTACGTTTTGAGTTGTGTGGAACTTTCTGGAATTTTCGCCCAAAATAAACGTCATAGCCCTTGAAAAACCCGAACAATAACCACTTGAATC